GCATATTAACAAAATCCAGAAAATAACTTTTCTCAGAGTTTGATCCTGTTTTACACATGCATATGGTAATTTGCGAATGCGACAGATGTTGATACGTTTTATAATTTTCTATGTTTTGACAAGTTTTACTCCCTATATGCGTCAATCTGAGTAAAAATTTGAGTGAATAATCTAGTTGAAATAATATTTGTAGTTTGATAAGACAACTCTTCAACGCTTTTTCAGGATTAATTTTTTGGAAAGGCAATAACAGATCTGCCAACTATTCCGATTTATGGGGATATCCCCATGACAGGTGTTGACCTGAATTTTAAAATTCTTTATCACATAAACTGAACACCTCAAAACAGGCATTCAAATGAGTTAAAAGGGTATTACTAATTAAAACAATATAGTAGTAGATTAAAAACACTTACGACAATTATAAGAGGTGCATTAGATCCTCTTGTGCTTAAAATCCCCTTTGGAGATTTTGAAAAGTTGGCAAGTATGCAATAAAATGTATTGGGGTCAGTAGGAGTCAAGATACAGGCATATATCTTTTTATTGCTAAGAACTCAAAAGTGGACATAATTTCAGAATCTGTTAAGATTTAGAAATAAACTTACTCTAAATAATTAGAATGTGTAGTCTCAAAAATGAAACACAATGCTAATTCTTCAATATATTTTTGGCAATGCAATAAAATCGTTCTTAGGGTTCAGTCAAAGGCAGGGAACAGACATTTATATATTTTTTTTGGCAACAGCATGTAATTTTTGTGTCTGTTGATGATTTGTATGTACCGTAGAAAGGCTTGTATAGTCCGCGGTTTTATTCTCCAAAATTGGACCTTCCAGACGGGGTGCGGACTATAGAGTACAATAAGCAAGAAATAAGAGAAAAATTTCAATTTCGCGGGCGAGGTGGTTTGTTTACGTTCCGCCATCTTTGTTATTTATATTGTAGAGGGCGCTCTTATCATTTTTCAAACTAATAATTTTAACTCATCCATATTAATAAGTTATTTCTATTCAATATCAAATTAATACATGTACTGATAAATATAAAAACTAAACCTTTCATTACAAATTTCTTGTTTCTTTTCAATGCATTGGTTGAAATAAACTTGTATCTGCTTGATTGAAACGATACAAACATAGTGAAAAAGACAACTGTAAACCAGCTTAGAATTTGTAAACTACAAAACGTAATCGGTTATTGTTCGTTTCGTTTTGGTGTTTTATACTGACTAATATGGTTTGTATTAGCTTAAGACCCTTCAAACATTAATGTGATAGATCTATTAAAGACTGTTTTACAAAAGGATGGAACTGTTTTACTTTCAAAGTCGTATTATAGTGATATCTGTTATGTACGGATTTCGACTCTCACCGGTTAGTTTCTTCTTTTACACGTGCTTTTTAAACTTCCTGTTTAAACATACACAAGTTCTAAATTGTTTTTTAAGTGAATTAAACTTATTTTAACAATCATGAAGCGTTCTATAATCATTTACAAGCAATTTCAGCTTCTGTTTGATGATGGAAAACAGGTTTTCCCAAGAAAATACCGCAAACGACCGCACAGGATTTGAAATTACCGGAGTTTCAATAGACCTTTTCTAACAGTTACAAAAAGTTTTTTTACCTAAAATTTCGTGGGGAGAAGGGGGTGCGGACTATGTACCAGTGCGAACTATACAAGCCTTTCTACGGTAAGATCACTCAAATATCTTTTGTTGACATACCTCTTTTTATTCATATAAACAGGGTTTTCACCAAGAATTTTTATGCCGCCGTAGCAGAGGGGACATTAAGTTTTACCCATGTCCGTCTGTATGTCCCAAAATTGGTTTCAGTTCTCTAACTTAAGTTTGCCTTAACCAAATGTTATGAAACATATACACAATGCTTATTACCACAAAACACAGATCAAGTTTGAATTTTGGTGGCGTCACTTTTACCGTTCTAGAGTTATGCCCCTTTACAAATGGGAAAATTGCTGAATTTTTTGTTTCCGTTCTCCAACTTTAGTTTGCCTCAACCAAATGTTATGACACTTATGCACAATGCTTATTAGCACAAAACACAGATCAAGTTTGAATTTTGGTGGCGTCACTTTTACTGTTCTAGAGTTTTTCGTTTCCATTCTCTAACTTAAGTTTATTATGCCCCTTTACAAATGGGAAAATTGCTGAATTTTTTGTTTCCGTTCTCCAACTTTAGTTTGCCTCAACCAAATGTTATGAAACTTATGCACAATGTTTATTTGCACAAAATACAGATCACGTTTGAATTTTGGTGGCGTCACTTTTACTGTTCTAGAGTTTTTCGTTTCCATTCTCTAACTTAAGTTTATTATGCCCCTTTACAAATGGGAAAATTGCTGAATTTTTTGTTTCCGTTCTCCAACTTTAGTTTGCCTCAACCAAATGTTATGAAACTTATGCACAATGCTTATTAGCACAAAATACAGATCACGTTTGAATTTTGGTGGCGTCACTTTTACCATTCTAGAGTTTTTCGTTTCCATTCTCTAACTTAAGTTTGCCTCAACTAAATGTTATGAAACTTATATACAGTGCTTATTACCACAAAACTCAGATCAAGTACAAAATTGGGTAGCACACTTTTACAGTTCTTGAGTTATGTCCCTTTATAATGTTATATGCAAGCGGGCGCATCATCTGTGTCCCATGGACACATTCCCCATTTATTTTAATAAGTCTTATGACTTATTTTATATATTGTATTGTTATAGAGATGATGAAAGTTGATGATAACATGCCACTAGGAACCTCCAATAAGACTGTGTACAGACGTGTGTGAATAGCAGCCAACCACCGTTAATAACTTTATTGACTTACTTTCATTTTTAACCGGATTTTCGAAGTAAAAATCGGTTATTGATTTGGCGATGTATGGCGGGCGGGCGGCTGCCAAACAGTGTCCATTCATTTACATGAAAAGGCTTTGAAGAAATTTTTTCAAATTTAGATATGTTGTTTCCTGTGACTAAATGAAGGTCAAGTTCAATTTTCATGATTTTAGCTTTTCTCGTTAGTCAGTTATAGCCCTTTTCCAAGAATTCAATTTTTGATGAATTAATCCATTTCTGTACGAGGGGAAATAACTCATTTTTAAAAAGATTTTTAAAAGACATTATATTAATGATAAATGACATTTTGAATTTTTTCTTTTTTCTTTGGTAAATTGTTTGAAAAATTTTGCGGTTGGTTTGTTCAATGTTTGTTTGTTATTCTGTATAAACTAATTGTCTGAGTGTGTGTTTATTTTAATTTTTACTTGATCCTGTTCCAGATTTGCAAATTCATTAGATAATAATCTATTTGTATTAAAGGATATATTTCATTACATTAAATTGTGTAGATAAAGTTGTAGAATTTCATAGATAAGTTGCAGATCTTTATTAGTTTGTTACAAATGAAAGAAAAAATATTGGGAACTGTTAACTATATATATGAAGTTTGATTACACTAAGTGTTTTTAAATGATTTTCACCTTTTATCTAGATAACACACCATCTGGTAATTGTCAATCACCCAATTATAATTGTAGTGACAGATTTATTTGAAAACTATTAATTATATCAGATTATAATTTGAAAATAAATATAACATCATATCTAATTACATTGTATCTAATTTTAGAGAACTATAGTTAAATCATATCTAATTTTAGATTTACATTATTGGTTCATGGAAATAAAGTTATTTCCCTTTGAACAGAAATGGTTTAACTAAGAAAGTGTTTCATAAAAAAATGAATTCTTGGGGTTCCTTGATATGCTGATTCTAGCAATGTACATAGATTTTGGATATTGGACCATAATAGGTATATGTCCAATTTCAAATTTTTCAGTTCTTTGACCACATTTATTTTGTGTCACAAACCTATGCTGTATCAAATATTCAATCACAATCCAAATTCAGAGCTGTTTTAAGTTTAAATGTTGTGTCCATACTTGCTCAACTGTTCAGGGTTCGACCTCTGCAGGAAAATCTGGTTTGCTGTCTCTCTGACAGCCTCTTGTCTATTCAACTAAACTATTTTTATTTCACTTTCTACTTTTATTGATAACGTTGTCATACAACAATCATTGTAACATTACTTCCAGTTAACCACAAAATTTGTACTTTATTTCATGTATATACTTGTCCTGAAGACGCCACTCTTGCTGGCGAAACATGTTGACCTAATAAACCAGTACTATGCGGTAAAAATTTGAGTGTTGTTGTCTTTTATGTTGACATATTTGTGAATAAATCAGTCCTGGAAATTAGCACAGGACCGACAGGACATCATGTCCTGTAAAAATATATTCGGTCCTGACGATTTTTTTAAATTTTGTAATACATTCCTAAAAAAATTTGAAGAATTATCAATTCGGTCCTGTAAATGCCAAACCCCAATTTCTATGACTGATAAATGGTGAAAACTTAAGAGTCAGCAAGTTTTTTAGAGTCAATTATAGATACATCTTTTGGACTCATTTGTTATACATGTACCTCTACTCCCAAAAAGGGGCTATATTGCATTTGTTTGTCCATTCTTCCAACAAATATTTCTGTCACACCTATCTCAGGTTTTACTCATCAGAATAACTTCATATTTGGTCAACATACAGCTTGTAAATGATGAGTTGTAATGTGTAAGCACTTTTTGGATCTGTCAGACATCTACACCCTGCACTGCAGGTTGTAGATAATATAAATTTTTCAATATGTTGAATGAATCTCAAAATTCTACTCACACTTTTCTCAATTACTTATCAACAGAATGACTTCATATTTAGTCAGCTGCTTGACAGTGATGAGTTGTAATGTGTGAACACTTTTCGGATCTCTCTGACTTTTGTTTCCTGTTTACCAATATTTTGAAATACACAAGTGGGGTCTACATAGCAAGACAATGTGTACATTCTTGTTTAGTCCAGCTCTCATACTCAGAATTGTCTGCATGAAAAAGCTAAGATTGTATATTTTTTTTGTTTTTCAGAGGACCACCACCATTTAGAGGTCCCCCAGGACCAGGAGGTCCTCCAAGAGGATATAGAGGGCCACCACCACCTGGCATGAGAGGCCCACCACCACCTGGAATGAGAGGTCCCCCACCACCTGGAATGAGGGGTCCACCCCCGCCAGGAATGAGAGGACCACCTCCATTTGGTAGGCCTCCATTTGATCCAAATTATGGACCACCTCATCCAGGAGGACCTGGTGGACCACCACCTCAGAATTATCAGGGAATGCCTCCTCCTCCAGGAATGCCACCACCTCCAGGGATGCCGCCACCTCCTGGTATGCAAGGAATGGTAAGTTTTCAATTAATTCCCTGTGGATGAACTTGAATTTTGGCCAGACTATAACAGTAGTTTTATTTTTATGCCCCCGCTGTAGCGGAGGTAGCATTAAGTTTTACCCTTGTCTGTCTATACATACGTACGAATGTACGTCCCAAAGTTGGTTTCCGTTCTCCAACTTTAGTTTGCCTCAACCAAATGTTATGAAACTTATACACAATGCTTATTACCACAAAACACAGATCAAGGTAAAATTTTGATGGCATCACTTTAACTGTTCTAAGAGTTATACCCCTTTATAAATGGAAAAAATACTTAATTTTTCGTTTCCGTTCTCTAACTTTAAGTTAGCCTCAACCAAATGTTATGAAACTTATACCCAATGCTAATTACCACAAAACACAGATCAAGTTTGAATTTTGGTGGCATCACTTTTACCGTTCTAGAGTTATGCCCCTTTACAAATGGAAAAATTGCTGGATTTTTCGTTTCCGTTCTCTACTTAAGTTTGCCTCAACCAAATTTTATGAAACTTATACACAATACTTATTACCACAAAACTCAGATCAAGTACAAATTTGGGTAGCGTCACTTTTACCGTTCTTCAGTTATGTCCCTTTATAACTTTATATGATATGCAAGCGGGGGCATCATCTGTGTCCCATGGACACATTCCCCATTTATCTTTAAAAGAATTGTTAAATAAATCAGGCTGAAAGAAGTTATGACATTGAAGATCAAGAATCATGAAAGAATTTGTAAATTGATAAATTCTGTAAAACCTAAAAAAAAAATTTGACAAAACATTTGTTTTTAATTCTTTTAGCGACCACCTATGATGCCTCCTCCTGGGATGCCACCAGGAATGCCACCACCAAACTTTGCCATGCCACCACCAGGTTACAATATTCCTCCTCCAGGACAGATGCAACCTGGCTCTGGAGTACCCAATATGGATGGAAATCAAGAATTATGGGTGGAAACTAAGACAGCTGAAGGAAAGGTATTTATGTCTTGTATCCTAGTCCAACCTCAGTATATTTATCTTGTACAAGAAACTACATATGAAATTGTTTGTAATTTTTACCAATGAATATATTAAAGTGCCACATACTCCTGTAGGGGCTGTCCTTTGATCTGGATGTAAGGCTTAAGTGTGTCATTTTTAAAGATCTTTCAGTGAATGTAAAGATCATGAAGAGCAGCAATAAATAATCTTTGATGTACATGTATGTTTTATCCAGGTACCACATTTATTTGGAATTGTCTCATGTACACTAATCCTATTGATCTTTTACTTCTGTTAACTGCATCTTTGGTCTTGTTGTAGCATTCTCCATTAAGTGTGAGTGGTCATTGCTTCAATCTCAATCCTGGTCACACCCAAACACTCGAAAATTGGTATTTGCCACTTCTCTAAGAGTAAATAGCATTAAGAAGTAAGAATTTGTGATATGCATGCCATATGATATTTGCCACTGGACAAATTTTCCCAAATTTATTAAAAAATTACATATAATAACGATTTATTTACCAGCATGTTTTTTTTTTAATTTAAGGTCTACTATTACAATGCAAAGACTAGAGAAGCTGCTTGGTCTAGACCAGAAAATGTTAAAATCATAACTCAGTCAGAGGTGGAACAGATGGCTGCCCAGCAACAATCCACACCAAATCCAGTTCAAACTGGTCCAACTACAGCAGCACAGAATGCAGTAGCTCAGGGTAGGTAATGGGGGATAGGGACTAAATCTAGCACATATTTGTCCAACTTGAGTAGCTTAAAATGAAATAATTCTGACTGGTTAGCTTACTGGTGCTAGAAACACTAAATCTAACAGAGACTTGTCCAACTACAGCAGCTTGAAATGCCATAGCTAAGGGTAGGTTGCAGACAAGAAAAACTTGATTTGGTTCATGGTTCCAGCTCATTTGGATCCACTTACAACAATTTATAATTCTGTAGATCAGGGCAGAATAAGGACAAGCCAGAGGTTCATGAATCTGAAGGCAAAAAAACTGTACCAACCCCAGAACATATTTTATATTCATTTTTTACTGAAAAAGGTTTGATATTTTGAGATGATTAGCATAACAGCACAATGCAATCTGAAAGAATATTGCAGGATAACTTGATAGCAGTGATTGAGTATGCATGTTTGTGACCATGATGTTTTTGGATTATTTCTGTTAGAAGGTTGCTGTCATATTGGCCTATACCCCACATCCTCTTTTATCTATCTGTATTTATCGAGAATAGGGTGAATGAATTCATTTGAGATTTTTATGCCCCTGCCACTAGGCAAAAGGGGCATTAAGTGTTACCCTTGTCCTTCCCGTCCGTCATACATCCCCAAAATTGGTTTCCGTTCTCTAACTTTAGTTTGCCTGAACCAAATGTTATAAAACTTATACACAATGTTTATTACCACAAAACACAGATCAAGTTCGAAATTGGGAGGAGTCCTTTTACCGTTCATGAGTTATGCCCCTTTATAAACATAAAAATTGCTGAATTTTTCGTTTCCGTTTTCTAACTTTATACACAATGCTTATTACCACTAAACACTGATCAAGTTTGAAATTGGGTAGCGTCATTTTTACCGTTCTTGAGTTATGTCCCTTTATAACATTATATGCAAGCAGGGGCATCAGCTGTGTCCCATGGACACATTCCCCATTTATTTTTTTTGGGCTATTCCATTAAAATGTATGTGGGAGGGTAGGAAGGGAAGTTTAATTATTGAATGTGGGTCATGGGTCTTTTTATACAACTGCAAAAATGAAAAAATTTTTGGTCGTATATTGGTATCACGTTGTCGTCGTCGTCGTCAGCGTCGTCCGAAGACAGATGGTTTCCGGATAATAACTTTAGTATGAGTAAATAGAAATCAATAAAATTTTAACACAAGGTTTATAACCACTAAAGGAAGGTTGGGATTGATTTTGGGGGTTATGGTCCAAACTGTTTAGGAATTAGGGGCCAAAAAGGGGCCCGAATAAGCATTTTTGTAGTTTCCAGACAATGACTTGTGTTAAAGTGTATGAATCTCTCTGAAATTATACCACAAGTTTCCATACTACAAAGGGATGGTTAGGATTGACTTTGGGGGGTTATGGCTCAAACCAATTAGTAATTAGGGGCAAAAAAAAAGGGAAAAACAAGGGTTTTTCTGGTTAAAGGACAATTGAGACAATTTAAAAGTAGTGTAAGGGAGGTAATCCAAATCAATTAAAAGAAAAGTTTGATTACCTCCCTTACACTGCTTGTGAATTATGTATTAAGAAATGATGATTGTATTGAGGTGATTAGCTGTCAATTTATTTTTAGAAGTTACTATTAATTAATATTAATTTTAGCCATGACTATGTATGTCATTTTATATTTTAAAACTTTTATGATGTATTTAAATGGGTAATTATGGTTGCAAACTCCATTAGAAATTTGAATTGAGATACTGACCATATCTTGAGGGAAAGATTTTTTTTTTGGGAATAACGGAAAGGGGGAGGTGAAAAAAATTGGAGGGGGGACAATTTTTCAGATTTCAGAAATTAAAAGAAAATTTCTTCAAATATTTTTTTTGGGGGTTAATATTCAACAGCATAGTGTATTGCACAAAAGAAAAAAACCGGGGTAAAATTTTTTTTTTTTTTTGGGGGGGGGGGGTCAATTCGCAACAGCATAGTGTATTGCACAAAAGCAAAAAATTGAATATAAACTCAAATCATATAACCAATTTGAAGTTCTTTGACTACAGCTATTCTGTGTCAGAAACCTATTATGTGTCAAAAATTTAGTTACAATCCAAATTCAGACCTGTATCAAGCGTGAATATTGTGTCCATTTTGGCCCCAACTTTTCAGGGTTGGACATCTGCGGTCGTATCCAGCTGCGCTCAGCGAAGCAATTTATTTCAGAATGCATCTATTACCATTATGCAAAATTATCTAAAAAATGATTCTTGGTTGTAGGGATATTTTGAAAGTCCCTTCCTACCCTCCCACATACATTTTAATGGAATAGCCCTTACACAATCACAAACACACACAAACAATAAAAAATATGAATCAAAATTGTAATGGTAACTCATAATGCTATCTCAATTAAAATCAAACATTTTTTACCTTTCTTACATGTTTGAAATTCTTCTTTCAGCAGCTGCAGCACAGCCACAAGTCACACCAGATCAGACAGGTATGTTATTATGTTTTGTTAGATAACAAGTATTTTACTTTTATAGACACATTTTCAATCAACAGAAAAAGCTTTTCATTTTGTTAAAGGTTTGTGTTATTCATTTGATATGAATTTTTAATGAAAATAGAATAAACATATTTAAACAGACTGCCTACCCTTTCAGTCATTAATTTCCCAAAAAATATTATCCAAAGAAGGTCCATTTCAAATAAGCATTGAAATGTTATTCTGTTTAAAAAGAGTTGATGCATATTTTTTTAAAAGTGATTTTAGGTAGCATGGTCAAATTCATGCTTTGGAGCAGATTTAGAAGAAGATATATTTAATTTGATATCATTTGATTTAAGGTATTCCAATGCAGCAAGCAGTACCAGCCATTCCAGCAGCTGTCTTGCCTAATGCCAATCAAATGGGTGGACAGTCTCCTACTGATGCTACATCATTACAGAAACCTTCTACAGTTCAGGTATTCAACTTCCACATCAATTTTAATACACCATTTTGACAGAAGAAAATGTATTAAAGTCATATGTTATAAAGATACTTATCAAAATTCAGAATTAGTTAGCATTTGTGCCCTCAATTTACAATTGCATGACTGCAACCGTGAAAATATCGAAGAATTTTTATTTGTATAATATGTAATGTAAAGAATAATTCACAAAAAATCAGAAGAATTGAAGTACACAGTAAATTAGCCATGTCAGCATTCAAAGACAGTACTGTAACTATTTGGAACCTAGATTTTGATTGTACCAAAGGGCTGTTCCAAATAAAGCTTTAAGTATGGGTAGGCGTGGTAGGAGGCACCTGAAATAAATAATCTAATGGGTGTAGAAGCTTGAAATAATTTTGGAAAGGTCACAAATATGTTTAACCCCAGTGATTTTGCTAGCGCTCGTCATTTTCGTCATTTACGAAACGGTTTTCAAAATGACGAAAGTATTCCAAATCAATTTCGTCCTTTAAATTTGGAAAGAGTAAAAATATTTTCGCATGAAAATACTATAATTCTACCTGTCTTATTGTTTCTGACAAGTTTATGACCCTCAGCTAATTAACATTTACAACAGGTGTTATAAGTTGTGATTACAGATAATCCGCTTATCGCCATCTGATGGGTCACTAATCCGTTAATTATTTATCAACCTCATAATTTATCATCATAATTATTTTCCCCAGTAAAATTAGTCAGTCGGCATTTCAATTTCAATATTTATCAAACGAGCACAATTTGCAGTTCGTTTGTCGTAGTTTCGTCATTTGAGTCTTCCCTCGGGCAGTTCACATTTTAATTTTTATATTTCTCAAACGATCACAATTTGCAGTTCGCTTGTTGTAGTTTCGTCAAATGAACGTATTTTCGTCATATTTGATATAACTTTTAATTTAAAACTTTCGACAATTTCTATTAAAAAGATAGAACTTTATTCATAACATTCAGAAATGTTTTCACGAGTCAAACAGGTGCTTCCTTTACGATGAACTGCGCATGCGCGAAAGTATTCTTATGAATTTAAAGACACTAAAACGTAAAATACGAAATAATTAAGTATCAAACTAAACGAGAGAGACAAATATAGTTCTTATTTAGCAAATTTAATTTAAAAAATGATTATTTCCTGCCTTTTTTAAACACGAACCAATCCGTAGATGAATCCGGATTCATTCTGAATTTATTATATCCACTTTGCACTTCCCGTTTTCATTTCATTTGGAAATCGAAAGTAAACGTGATCTATTCATGATAAATTTACAATTTAAAGTCATTAGAATTGTTCCAATAAGGATTTGTACAAATACTTGGTTCCCACTTTATAGAATTAATTCTAAATATCGCTTTAAAACATTTTTAAGGATAATGAGTATGAATAATGCAGTGAAATAGTCCTTACAAGTTCATTTATGCTGTGATTTTTGGTTTAAAAAAAATGGTTCCCAACTTTTGCTGATTAGGATATACCCTGAAACTAACTGAAGTGAATCTGTGAACTAGATTTCTAGATCTTATATCTTAATCTTCGTATTAAAGTGCCACATCAGTCAAATTATGCAATAACTGCCTAGTTTGCCTATATCAATAAGTCCTTCAAAGTCTGACAAAGATGTATAGATAGTAATATACATCCTAGATCCCTTGCTGATACCCAAAATAAGGTTGATTTTCATCCTGCGCAAAAGTGACTAAAGCCCTCAAAATCCTAGCTTAAACCCTGTTTAACCCCGCCACATTCTTTATGTGCCTGTCCTAAGCTAGGAGCCTGTAATTCAGTGGTTTACTTTGGTTCATGTCTGTCATATTTGTTTTTCGTGAATTGTTTTGTTATAAATTAGGCTGTTAGTTTTCTCAATGGAATTGTTTCATATTTTTCATTTCTGGGCCTTTTATAGCCGACTATACGGTATGGGTTTTCTTCATTGTTGAAGGCTGTACAGCTGCCTATAATTGCTTACATCCACTTTATTTGAACTTTGGCGGATAATTGTCTCATTGGCAATCATACCACATCTCTTTATTTTTATATAAATACTAATATTTTATCTTAAGTATTGTGGATATGAGAAAAAGGGCCCTTCTTACCTCCATACTGTTTTGTTCAATAGCCTTAAGTATCATTTACTTTCAATTAAGGATAGAAAGGTTGTGCACAGATATTTTTCATGTTAACATTATTTTGATTTGGCGATTAATTATGAAGTGTTTATAATTTCAGCTTCCTCCAAAGCCTGCAGAAGTAGTAGAATGGTCTGAACATAAAAATGCTGAAGGCAGATCATACTTCTACAACTCAAGGACGATGGAATCAACCTGGGATAAACCTCAAACTCTTGTTGACTGGGAAGGTTAATATAAAAAATACATGTTTAAAAAGATTTTATTAAAATTTTGATGTTGCAATTGCTATATCATATTAAAAGACAAATCAGAAAGCGACTTGAATTTGAATTAGATCCAATAGTAAAGGAAGCGTTCTTGACTAATCATTAAAAAACCCTTGTTGACCTGGAAGGTTAATATCAAAGAAGTGCATGTTAAATATGAGTAATTTAAAATATTTTGGCTGTTGTTTGACCACCAGTTAGCTGCCATTATTTTATCTCCGAGAAAAGGATTGATTGATGGTTGCCGAACATATAGCTACAAATAATAATTTGCATATTCCAAATACTAACATGTATATGTGGTATAAATATACCCTGTCATAAACTAGAGTGGCAAGCTGAGTCAGATTGATTAACTTGCTAGATCACAAGGTAGACATGTTTTATTACAGAACACAATATTTTGACTATTTTGTGGCTATATTTGGCTCGTATTCTTAAATGATTTCAATGCTTAAATTGAAAATTGAAAAGCCAAATTTAAAGTCTGATTTGACTTTCTTGGGATTGAATACACAGACTCGCTCACTCAAGCAAGCATGCTACCACAAGACCAGTACGACAGTTGCCCCCAAAAAGAAGGAGCATAAACCATCCTGTAGAAATTGCACACATTCTACTATGGCATATTGTGGAGTAACACATTTCTGCTTTCAAGAAAATTATGATCAAAATGCCAAGCTTGCTGATTTTTAAAGCATGCAATTGTAGTCAAAAGGCTAACATTGTCATTGATGATGTCTTTATAAAGTATCTTATATTTGTAGCAAAGATAGCACAGATACAAGCTACTCAACAACCACCACCAACTCTAGTTCAGCCTGTGAAAGAGGAAAGTCCCAGAATGAATGGACATGCAGAAGAAACACCCATGGAGACTACTGAGGAAGAGGTCACAAAAGATGTATGTAGTACAAATAATATGGCTCCTTTTTGTGTACATTCAATAAATTAACAAAAAACTAGAAAAATTAAGAGCAGAGCCCACTAAATGTTTGCTTTTAGATCACCCCTTTCTAAAAATATTTAAAATAAAGATGTTATCATTGAAAAAAAGAAGGAACTTGGGTACCTAGTGCCATTTGGAACCAAAGGTTTTTTGAAAGCTTTATTGAAATTTAAGGCACTTGAACACAAAATGTGAGCATAAGTGCCTTTATATGTATGTCATGTATGTATTTAAGTACAAAAAACCTGAGGACTTTACATACAAAGCTACCCAGATGGAGATCACTAATTTATTTAATATTCACATTCAGAACAAAGATTTGGAACTGTTTTACAGTTTCCTAGAGAAAGTAACAAGTTATTGAAGATGAATTTTATTTTCTAATTGCTGGTTTTTCAATTTTACAGGTGGAAATAGAAGATAAATCCAAAGAGAAATCAGAAGAAGAAAAAGCTGCAGAGAAAGCCAGACCGGTCTCAAGTACACCTGTACCTGGAACACCTTGGTAAATTATTTTCTTACAATATGACAGTGCTTTGAAAGTTATGAAAAATTTCTCTGTCAATTAAAGGACCTATGTGAATTAATAATCAACTTTTCCTTGACCTTGGCTACAAGATTGATTATTGTTTTCTCATTATCCAGTGGCAAATATATTATGCATATTCAGGTTGATTGATGGCAAGAAATAGAGATTGGCTGATCAAACAAGAATTTGCTAAACTCTTACTATAAGAGCTGTAATCTTAGGTCTCTGCCCAAAAAATTGGTTTTTGATTTCAATGTCTTTCAATACTTTAAAGATTGATTGATTGATTATTGGTGTTTAATGCCACTCTTTAATAGCACTATTGGCTGTTTCATGGTGGTCGTTTTTTTTTTTTTCTTGTTTAGGAGGCTAGAGAGATACTTTCAGAGGTTAGCTCTGATATTATTTTCAAAATTCTGGCATTTTCCCTCAACCTTAGGCAATTTATTGTTTTGCAAGAATATAACTACTTAAAATATTGATAATTTAAATATTCTTTGGAACCTGGGACTATTATACTAACGGGACTGGAAACCGTTACACCAATCAGTATAATGATATCAACATCACGGTCGTTAGAACGAGACTTTACCTGCGCTCTTTAACGATACGCCATATTGTTTTGACAGTGACAGCGTGCCTTGATCTTATAATTTCGGTTCTGTTTTTTTTATTTTATAGTTATTCGAAATGATAATCCTTAATATAAACATGATTACTATAATGATAAAAGATATCTCGATCTTTGACAGTTGTTATTAATCACCAAATCCCGTCTTAAGTGTAAAAAATGACACATAAATATTAAAATTTTCAGGATGAAAATAGCGTGGGGACGATGTGGAAAAAAGTATATGATTCATAAAATTTCTTATAACTGTTGATTAAAAAGAGACACGCAAGTTCGGTTTGTTGTAAAATCATATTTATAGGTTATAGTTTGGATTTGTCTATTTTTATTGTCACTTTTTAAAATAAAAAGTACAATATAAATCTCTTTCTCATTACAACCGGAACCCACATGCACGGCTCAAATAAATTATACTGTTCCTATAAAATTACCTACTCCTTTTTATGTGTACAATATTTTTATTATAATCAGGGTTAATTTTGCTTAGTAATGGTCTTCTGGTGGCATTAGCAAATGACTTCGTGAAAATATGTACACTAGGTTCCATAATTAGAACTACAAAAGTAGGCCCTTTCACAGCCATATTGAAATTTTGGTGTAAACACGAAGTTCACAAAAGTTCAAAACAATGTGACTATATCTTTATGAGACCCGGGTAACTTTTGTTATATGAATTATTTATGAACTGAAATTGTAAACATTGTTTTTATTGCACACTTATTGTTTTTATCAGGATTAATTATGATCTGTTAACCTTTGACACGTTGTTTTCTTAGCGGTCAAGTAAAGCGCCGGCATTTCGACTATATCTGGTTTATTTTCAACACTAATATATTGACTACTTATTAATAATTTTTCGTAAACAATATATATTTTTTGCATTTAAACTAATTAATTTAATAATTATTTTTTTATTTCAAATCCACCAATTTTCACAGTATTATATATATGCTGACTTGTTTGCCGAAATCTATTGTTTAATTTTGTGTACCGAATGCTAATTTACTACGTGACACGATAGCTCAAAAAAGAATTATTATAAAAATATGGTAAAAGACTCCAATGACCCTAAAACTTTATGGAAATGTCTTCACAGTCTGAACCCAAAAGTTAAAAATACACCATATGAATTAGCCACTGAAGATAACAATACAACTAAAAGTAAAAAATCAATAGCAGAAACTTTAAATAACTTTTTCACTTCCTGTGCTGAAAAATTAAGAGAACAAGGAAGTTATACACCTGTAAACAAAGCAGATTTCAGTAATCTTGGTAAATTTGTTAAAAATAAATTACATAAACATGATAAATTTTCTATACCACCAGTGATCATGAATGAGCTATTTAATGAGTTAACAAAACTTGATATAAACAAAGCATCTGGTATGGATAATATAGGACCAAAAATCCTAAGATTAAGCGCCCCTGTTATTGCATCACCTCTCACATACATATTTAACAGAATGATAGATACTGGTATATATCCTTCTTTACTGAAGAATGCTAAGGTAACACCAGTTTTCAAGGATGGTGACAAGCTTTTAGCAACAAATTACAGACCTATATCTGTTCTTCCAACTTTATCAAAATTAATAGAAAGGCATGTTTCTAATAACATGTACAAATACTTATCTAAACTTAAACTTTTACACCCTACACAATCTGGTTTCTTGTCAAACTGCACTTATTAATATCATTGACAAATGGTTGCAAGAAATGAATGATGGTAATTTAAACCTAGCAATTTTATTAGATTTTAAAAAAGCTTTTGATTTGGTAGATCATGACATTCTTTGTTTAAAGCTTGAAATTTATGGATTTAGTGAGGCTACTGTTAGTTTTTTCAAGTCATACCTGAATAACAGAAAACAGCAGGTAAACATTTGTAATGTTTACTCTGAACAACAACATGTAAAATTTGGTGTCCCCCAAGGTTCTATACTTGGTCCTCTATTGTTTGTGCTATTTATAAACGACCTTCCCTTATGCATTGAAAATTGTGAAACAGACCTATATGCTGATGACACCACTCTTCATAAATCAGGGAAAAACATAGAAAATATACATGATGATGTTCAAGAAGATTTATACAGGGTTGAAGAGTGGTGCAAAATGAATAACATGTTCATTAATGCAAATAAAACAAAATGTTTGGTTACTGGAACAAAGCAGAAACTATCAATTCAGACTTATCAACCAAACTTAATAATAGATTCAAAAGTATTACAAAATTCTTCATGTGAAAAATTATTAGGTGTTAAAATTGACAGCACACTTAACTGGAGAAATCAAATTGACCAAGTTTGTGCTAATATATCATCCAGAATATACCTCCTTTCTAAAATAAAGAAATTTTTAGATATAAATGCAAGGAAAACATATTACAATGGGTATCTTCTGCCCCTGATTGACTACTGCTGTATTATTTGGGGTGAATGTAAAAATGAAGGGATAGCAAGAATTTTAAAACTCCAAAAAAGGGCAGCAAGATTAATTCTAGATGCAGTTCCTTTATCCCCCTCAGCCCCCTTATTTAAAGAACTTGGGTGGATGACAGTTGACAATAGAATAAAATACCACAAATATTTACTTCTATATAAATGTATGCGTATGGAAGCACCAATGTACCTAGTTCAAAAGTTTAAACTGAAATCAGATAATAATCCTTACTCCCTGAGAGGCGTCACTCAAGGTAATCTGATAGTTCCTAAGCCAAAAGCTGAGCTATTTAAGAAATCTTTTGTTTATTCTGGATCAGTGTTATGGAATGGACTACCAAACAAAATGCGTAAAGCTCAAAACACTTATACTTTTAAACAAAGTATCAAGAAGTACTTAACACAGTCCTGATAAGATTATGTTTTCTACAATGTATTTGTATATTCTTTTATTTATATTTGTATTTGATTTTTTGACTACATGTACATCTTGAACAGCCTTATATCTTATCATGTTAGTAATATTACATTGAACTAATTGACTGTAAATTAACTATGTGTAAATATCTGTTTTTTGATTGTATTGTAATTTGTATGTGAGGGCCTCAGGGAAGATTAGTTTATTGTAACTAACTGAGTTTACCCTCTTTAAATAAAGAATTTATTATTATTATTATTATAATCAAAACAAAAATATCAATAATCCGCTATCGGGGCAATGAAATCTCAACAGATCGATCAGTTTCCAGTCCCGTTAGTATAATAGTCCCAGTTGGAATTGACTAGTCGTAACAACTTGTTGCAGTTCTGGTACAGATGAAAATTGCAAAAAATTTTAGTTGGACTTTTTTATACGACCGCAAAAAAATTTTGGGGTTGTATATTGCTATCATGTCCTCGTCTTCCGAAGACATTTGGTTTTGGGACATTAACTTTAGTTTAAGTGTAAGGATCTCTATGAAATTTAACCAAAAGGTTCAATACCACAAAAGGAAGGTTTGGATTGTTTTTGGGGGTGATGGTCCAAAGCGTTTAGGAATAAGGGGGCCAAAAAGGGGCCCAAAACAAGCATTTTTCTAGTTTCAGGACAATAAGTTGTGTATAATTATTTTGATTGCTCTGAAATTGTACCACAAGGTTCAATACCACAAGTAGAAGGTTTCGATTTATTTTGGGGATAATTACCCAAACCGTTCAGGAACTAGGGGCCAAAAAGGGTCTAAAACAAGCATTTTTCTAGTTTTCAGATAATCACTTGTGTCCAAGTGTATTGATGTCTCTTAGATTGTACCACATTTTACAAAAAGAAAATTTCTTCAAATGTTATTTTTTTGGAAAAAGGGGGGTGGGGGTAAAAAAAAAAAAATTTCCTCAAGATTTAAGAAGTTGGCGTCACAATTTATTTTGCTAATTCTTTGTATATAGTCTGAAAACAGATTTACTAAGTATTGCACAACAGCACAGTGTATTGCTCAAAAGCAAGAAATCTTCAATTGAATATAAATTCAAATCATATAACCAATTTCAAGTTCTTATACTACATTTATTCTGTGTCAGAAACCTATAATGTGTCAAATATTTAATTACAATCCAAATTCAGACCTGTATCAAGCTTGAATATTGTGTCCATTTTTGCCCCAACTGTTCAGGGTTGGACCTCTGCGGTCGTATCCAGCTGCGCTCGGCGAAGCAGTTTATTGTAGACTGCCATGACTAGATAAGTTTTCCTCAGAGGTCAACACTTTTTATGGTTCATGTGTTAGCTGAAGCCCAATGGCTATGCAGACTTCAGCATGCAAACTACACCTTTCAGCATCATTGGGTCTTGCAGGACAAGAACTAATACGAAAATGTTCGAAATCAATGTTTTTTTGCACCAGATGGCTTACTTTGGGCAGCTTATAATTTACTTAGCATGATGTTAACAACTGTTCTCAGGGCCAGTTAAAGAAAGTGCAACAAATATTTTTTGCCAAATGGGCTTCTTGGGGGGAATTGTAATGCATGAAATGTACATATAGATTTTTTTCCATTTGTGTCATAGGTGTGTGGTTTGGACTGGCGATACCAGGGTATTTTTCTACAATCCAAGCTCACGTACATCTCTTTGGGAAAGACCTGAGGAGTTGGCCGGAAGAGCTGATGTCGACAAGATGGTTCAAAGTCAACCTGATGGAAAGAGTAAATACATATCTGCATGTTTTTTATGAAAGATTCCTATTGTAAAGTTATTACGATAATAGATAAACTGGTTAACAAATGAATTATATTGAATTTAAGGATTCCTAACTTTTTTCTTTTTCTAAAGTTAAAATAGTTAGAACCAACTAATTTTTATATTTTGCCCATATACCCAGAAATTCCATGAAGATAAATATACGCTTAAAAAGTAATCAAACTAAAGTATAATTTCTTTTCTCTTGATAATTTTGTCACTAAGCTGTTGTTTTATTTCAGATGCTGTAGAGAAGAAAGAAGAGGATGATGAACCACAGACAAAGAAACAGAAGTAAACTTAATATTACAATGTTTTATAGTGAATTAGCTTTCGCTGGGTGTGGAGTCGAAAATCTTTATTTACAATTGCAGTCACAATGTCAACCAGTTTAGGTTTCAACTAATTATTTTCAACTTCAATCATAATTGACTAGGATTGCCAGTTTATTTTTTGCCAAAGTTTAGTGTTATCTTTAGCTACTCTGGCTTTCTCCAAATACATACTGGCCCCCATGATAAGCAAAGAGTGCTGAAAGTACTGTATAACACCAACAGTCAATATATAAATTCTAATTTTATCTGATTGAAAATTTAAAGACTACTAAAAGACTAGTTTGGAAAAAACACTGATTTTTTTATAAGGTATGTGTATGAAGTAGTAATAGAATATACCATTGGTAAATGGCATGGTGTTGCATTACCATGAATTTTGGTTTCAGGGGGGAAACTTGAGTTAGTGAGTTTGTAATTTTTACATAGTTCAAATGTCAAGTTGATAATTAGGTGTGTTTTTAAAGAAGTACTTTCATTAGACCATTGATATTTGTATATGCTTGTGTGCATTAGAATATCCTCATTTCAGTTGAAAGAAGAATTTGAGGCCTGCCCCTTTAGTCATGTTTCCCAGACTTGGGAATATTTACGTTGTTCAAATGTTAAGTATTTTTTAAGGGGTAGCTTTTTTAAGTACTTTCAATGGACCATTTTTATTTGGAATTTAATTATTATGGCCACGACACTAAGTGGTCAGGGCCATATAGTTTTACCCTTATCCTACTATGAGTCTGTGATGAGTCACAGACCAAGTTTACGTTTGGCTCTGCTCTACTGATTTTTGCAGAAATAAGGGCTGTAATATGCTGGGTCACAGATCAAGTTTACATTTATTTCTGCTCCACTGATTATTGCAGAAATTATGAGCTTTGGATTTTGAAATTTTGTGAAAATAACAGTTATACAGACAGTTTTTCTAAACGCCCTCACATTGGGTTGATTTGTAATATGTGAGTCTACTTTGATGAGTTAAGATCAAGTTTACGTTTGGTTCTGCTCTGCTGATTTTTGACAAAATTATGGGTTTGTGAAAATAACAGTTATACGGACTTTCATTCTCAAATTTCCACTCCTAAAAATGGTTTCAAGCTTTTTTTGCAAGCCGTAATATAGCAGTTTATCAAATATGTTTTTTTTACCACATAGCAGGTGAAACATATTCTGTGTTAACAGTTTTATTTGCATTAAATGCTGTTAACTTTCACAATGCAATAACATTTTTTCAGGGAAGGCACTTTGAAATATGGGGTCATCTATAGAGATTTAGAATTTCTCTTATATTTTCTCTTAGTGAAAAAGTCTTTAACACTATCTAGAGGTTTATATTTTGATATGCCTTCCCTTTTTTTAAGCAGCCCTCATTAGGAAATAAGAAGCTATAAAACTAATAAACATATATATTTTAGATTGGACAAAGATGAAATCAAGAAGGAAGAGGACAATGGACCAAAGACAATCGACGCTGGGAAGGAGGCAGCTATAGAGGCAGAGGTGCAGGCAGCCAGACAGAGGGCTGTTGTACCTCTAGAAATCAGGATGAAACAGTTTAGAGATATGTTATCAGAAAAAGACGTATGTATTTTATCCAAAAGTTTTGTCTGACATTAGAAAATAAAAAAAGAGTTTGATCTTTGTCTGTCTATAAAAAGAAAATTGTCATAACTGATATTTATGTTGAATTGACTAAAACTTTATATTGAAATGCCACAGGAAAATGTTTTAACTAAAAACAGTTCAATACACTAGACAAATTGTAAGTTTACTGCTTTTGTATCAATCTGTACCAGATTTATTTCACTTTATTATTCATAAATATTTTCCATAAATTTGACAAGCTGTAATAAACATTTGTGAAATGATGTAGCTGTTTAATAAAAAAAAAGATTCCAAAAAACCAACGTAAATGTTCAGATCTTAAAGCTATGAAAACAAACAAAAATATTAACTTCCCAAATTAAGTATTTTAAGAAAATATTTGCTTATTTGTTTAGGTGTCTGCATTTTCCACATGGGAGAAGGAACTTCACAAGATTGTGTTTGACCAGAGGTATTTATTACTGACATCAAAGGAAAGGAAACAGGTATTTGAGCAGTATGTTAAAGAAAGGGCGGAAGAGGAAAGAAGAGAGAAACATCGCAAACTCAGAGAAAAGAAGGATTTTTTCCGCAATTTACTTGAAGATGCTAAATTGCACGGAAAGTAAGTATTGTTATATATTTTGTGATGTGCATATAAAAGTAGCAAATTAATATTTACATGAGAAGGGATGTTCACATAGACAAAACAGTGTGGTATATTATCTAATTGTTACTCGCATTCAATCTTTATATGTGTGTCGAAAACATGTTCACATAGACCAACAGTGTGGTATATTACCTAATTGCTACTCACGTTCACTCTTTAAATGTGTGTTGAAAACAAAACATTTGAAATTGGATCAAAATCTTGTTTCATCTAAAGACATGTGGATTTTTATGATAATGTAACTGCATTTATATTACAAGAAGGAACCTTAACTACTTGTTTCAATTTTTGTATTATCTTAACTTTAAAATACACCATAAGAGTAAATCTAAAATTAAAGGTAAAATTTCTGTGAGAAATAAGACCAAATATGAAGACCATTTGCAAATTTGCGCAATAACAACTCAAACACTCAAACAAATAATTTCTTGAACTACACTTTTAATTTTTAATTTTAAATAGGTATATACATTGGAGAAAAATTATCCATAAAAAACAAGATATATACAATTTGATAAAGATATCATTTTCTTTTACATTAGATCATCCTTCAGTGAGTTTGCTGCAAAATATGCTAAAGATGAAAGATTCAAAGGCATTGAAAAGATGAGAGAGCGTGAAGCCCTCTTCAGTGACTTCTGCTCAGATCTAAGGCGAAAAGAAAAAGAGGAAAAATCACTACAAAAAGAAAAGGTAGGTTACAGAAAAAGACGTAAGTTATTGTGTGCTTAATTTTTAGGCCTCAAGTCTCCTTGTAATTGTCTCTGATAAAAGTTTACAAGCTGTGATATAAGAAGTGATTGTTAGTGCATAGTCATAACAGTTTTAAGCCAAATTACAGGTAAGGTTTGGTTAACTTCACTTAATCAAATTTTTCTGGTTCAGTTTTCTTGTTTTCATATAATCAATGGCATTAAATAGATATGTAAAGATGTAGTTAATGTTTTATAAGATTTTAAAAACAGATGTATGTTTCCATGTATTTTAACTTTGGTTTGTACAGTTATAAATTGCTATCTGATATCTTTCAGCAACACTAATGGAATTACAATAATGAATAGATATATACAATGTAGGATTGGTACATTTTAAAGAAAAAAATGTGATTTATATTAGTTGATTTAATTTAATAAAAAATATTCAATTGTTATAAGATTATATTAAGTTTTTCTTGAGACTTGAGGCCTAATTTTTGTTGATGTTGAAGACAGGAGACACAAGGTGAAAATCATCTCGGTCTTTTCAACTGTTCACTGAGATTTCAGTATTGTTACTTTCTTAAACCTTCAAGTCATGGGCACTACATCTTCCTCTAATAAATCATGGTTGCCACATGAAAACTGTGTTTACAAAATTACTGGAAAATTTTGCCTTTGTTTTGAATTATTGCTTTGGTCTTTTTTTAAGAAAAAATTCTATTCTTCTTTGGTACAAGTAAGCATAGCATTTATTCGAGTTAAGTACTGATAATTACAGAAATAATATACATATGGTATGTTATACTAGTAAATTCACTCAATTCTTACAGAAATGATATACATATGGTATGTTATACTAGTAAATTCACTCAATTCTTACAGAAATAATATACATATGGTATGTTATACTAGTAAATTCACTCAATTCTTACAGAAATAATATTCATATGGTATGTTATACTAGTAAATTAACTCAATTCTTACAGAAATAATATTCATATGGTATGTTATAGTAAATTCACACAATTCTCAATCCTTTATTCGTGGTTCTTTTATTTCCTCTACCAATAAAACTTAGCAACATGTATTTTATTATTCTGAAATTTTGGTCATGTCTCGGATAGTTTTTGGTAGTTACTTTTGTTATCTTGGGGTTAAACAATTCTTTTTTGAAGAAAACATTGCTCCTTGTGATAATTCAGAAGTTCAGTCACATGATTAAGGAAAATATTTGACTGCTTGGAGCCGTTAGATTACTTGTACTACAAGTTTAATACATAGCTACATCCAAATTGAGATCAAGGATGATTAAACGTTCATAACAATTGATGCTTGTACTTGTTGTCTCTTGGATTCCATCATCACTTCATGATTTATGTTTCAGGGATTTACAGACAAACATGTTTAATACCCAGAGTTTCATAACTTTTTTTTTTATAGGCTTTTACGCAAACTTTGGCAAAACCATGAAATCAAGTATCCATGAAATTACTATTTATTCCTTGATTCATTAAAATTGTTAGCTATGATAATAACTGAATCCATAGTACATTTGCCAAACAACAAAATCAGAATACCAAGATTCAAAAAATTCATTTGTCCTTTTAAAATTCTGACTGCTTTTTTAAAATAAAAATTATGAAGCCCTGGGTATATGATATCTTTGCATGTTAACATGAAAAACATGAGTAGCAAACAGAAAAACATCCGTTACTGCACAAATGACATGTAAAAAAAAACGAAATATATCTTGATTGAATTACTTTAACTGTTGAATGGTTGTCATGATTAAGTATGAAATGTGTCTGTTTTGAATGTCTTATAGAAATACATGAAATGGAAATACATGTAGTGTGACATGTATAAAAATGCAGAGACACATTTCATATGTAACTCATTAAAATGTAATTTTGCTTTCAGGTTAATAAAAGCATTTTATTTCAGCTTTGTCATTGTATTTTACACTTTTAACATGAGATCATAATTTTGTGGTTGCCTTTTTTTAAGAGCATTGATTCATGCAACCAAGTAATTTTGTGTCTTGGTCACTTTACATAATTGCAATTGTAAGAGTTAATATAGAATTTGATGAGTTCAAGGTTTTGAAGATAAAGATAACCGTTGTAGTTAATCAAGTTTTCACAGAAGATCGACAAGTTCTTTTATTTATCCACAGTTTTAAGTTATTCTGTTTTCTGATTTGATAAAGTGCCAAAGTAATAGTTGTTAAAGATTGTACATAATTCAGTTAATGGTAATTAATTAGAGAAATTTGATTTTAAATGATAATTGGTAAATAAAAGTTTTAATTTGAGAAATTTATAGGAGAATTTGAATTTGAATGAGTTAAATTTCAGTATAATATTTTGTTGAATGAGTTAAATTTCAGTATAATGTTTTGTGATTTGTCCCTTTAAGCGTCTAGCTTCAGAACGAGAGCACATGAGGCTGAATGTTAACCAGGAGCCACAGTCTATCATATTAAGGCCGACATGCGGTATTTGTTAACTATAGTTTATTTGCCTGTTTTTTAATGTGAAATTGGACTTTGAAACCTTTCAACAGACTGCCTCAATCACAGCTGCACTTTGAACAGGCTTAAGAGAGATACAGCAGTCTTGTTTTCTCTTGGTGAAACATAGTGCAGCTGGGATTGTAAACTTCTTGACGTAAAATTTATTGACATCATATAGAGATGGTTATTAATGATTGGGGTTATGAAAAACTTTGAAGTAATTTTTGGTTGTTTTTGAGTGTAATGGAACTCTCACTGATAGATGAAAAAGGCATTTTATTTACATGTCTTGATGCTATCCCTCATCCCATTGTATTCTAGATAAATAATAGTGTGGGAAGATGTGCATTGATCTGGAAGTCATGTGTCAATTTGATAATAGGACAGCATTTTGTTGTTAGGTCTGGTATGAAGTTGTGGTCTTATCATCTGTAAACTTCGTATGCATGTTCATTATGATGTGAATTATTTAGATTATTTTCCAAATGATGATTTTTTACCTTGGTTTCACTGAACAGGAAGATATGATAGTGTGAGCTGGCATCATGTCTCATGGACATATATTTTTGTTCTCATATCCATATGTTAAAGAGTATTCGAAAAGTATGTAATGGATGACAAGATCTAAAAGTTTAATAATTATCCCTAGTAGTTAAATTTTTTATCAATCAACTATTTTCATAAAATGATACAGGCCTTAAATTTTGATGGCATGCACTTTAATATTCTATATTGATTCTGGAAAGATATAATTGAATTGCTGTTGAGTTTATGATAATGTCTTGAGATTTTTTTTCACTCGTCTAGAAAGCCTAGTGAAAACACTAAAAAAAAAAAATAGCAAAATAAAATTGTTAGAAAATATTAGGTGATTCTCAATTAAACAGTAAAACCTGCATAAACAGAACTCTTGTATCAGGATATACAATGAATATTCTTTTGTAATTTTACCTGTTGCCTGTCCAATTTGAATAAAATCTTCAATGTTGATTGTTTAGGCAGGTTTTATTGTAATAAGTTGAAGGCAGTTTGTTGTAAGATTTCATTGTAGATGACTGTTCTTTGATTATGATATGTACTTATTGTGGGAAAGGTTTCCCCTATACTTTCACTGAGAATTCCATTCTTTACTCTGTGACTTTATTTCGCGGTTACTTGTTTGAAAATCCTAATTAAAAATGTGGAAAAATTAATTCAAATTAGGCCTTGGCTATTAAGTTTGTTAAGGAATCTATACCATAATATTGGCCACATGATTACTTTGGGGGAAAAAGACTTGATGGGAGTAAAAAAAACTCTCTTCATTTTATTGGTTAACATTGGGGGAAAGCATGTAAAGAGTATGATTTGGTAGACTCTGAGATACTCATCCAACTGGTCATTTATAGTAATGTCAAACAATTCAGATAACTACCATCATTTTTAACGTGTGGATTCCTTAATTGTGTAATTTTAATTAGTAATTTTGAACCTTGTAATTGAATATAAAAAAAATCACAAATAAATTCCATTTAAAAATGGAATTTATTTAGTACAATTTTGCTAAGTATGTATCATAAGAAAGAATTGATGAAAAAACAGGATAAAAATTTGGAATGGCAAATATTTTTGTATGATGGAAGAAAGATTGGCTATATTGTATTTTTTAATGCTATTTAAATGGATTTTAAGGGAACAGTTCATTTATTGTATGTATTTAAAAATTTTCAACATAATTGAAGAATGGTTTAAAGTTAATGTAATTCTTTATATCATGTATATTCAATATGTAAGTGTAATTATGTATTTTCGTGTACAGAATTATAAGAATTCACCTAATGTTGTAATCAGTAACCATGGAAAAACATACAAGTTTGTATTTCATGGAATATTGGCATTAAAATTTCTGAATATCAATTTACCATAAAAATGATTTGACTTGGAAAATAATATTGCACAGTAAATGTTGACTTACTCTTTTTATGTTCTCAGATAAAAACCATAGTGGCAGCCATGGGCATGTTTATACCATAAAAACTATTTCTAAATCAGCCTGATTAAAAAAAAATTAAACCATTTGGAAATATTTTGGTTAAGAAATAACTGTTACAGGTTAAGTGAGTTCAAGGTATCATGTTCTATCTAAAAATTGGATTTTTTTAAGAAAAAAATGGAAAAATAAATGCAAGTGAAAAAATGAGAGTTGAATTTGTGATCCAGAAAAGGGTACTGACTTCTGACTTCTAAAGTGAGATCTAGCAACTGGGTCATTTTTTTAGGCTATGCCTGGATCAAATTTAAAAAGACTTTAAAAACAAAAATAAAGTTTATTTCTGATAGCAAGATGATTTTGAATAGAGATTGATTGAAAAAAGTTAGATATATTTAATTAAATGCTATGTATGTTTTTCCATTGTTCAGAATAATAAAAATGATAAGTTAGTTTATTGAATAAAAAAATGAAATCATATTGTTCATTGAAACTAGATTTTCATGCTACATAGATATAGATATATTTGAATATCAAGTTTAAGAGAATCAATAAATTTTGTTAAAAAATAACATAAGTAATTCTAAGAAAACTTTAGAATAAATATGTTTTTATTCCAGTATAAATGTTGTATTTGTAATAACTAATCAAACTTTAATTTCAGCAAGAGAGTTTACTATAGAATATATAACATGTATATAACTTACTGTATCAGAATTAGTAAAGATAACAGTTTGCCATTCCATCCTTCAATCTCACATGCTTCAAACTTTATTTCAACTCTTTTTTTCATCTTTGTATTTTCATTTCTTGTAGTTAAAGGCTGACTTTATCGCCTTGTTGAAAGAGACCTCTGGTCTTGATAGGAACTCTAGATGGAGTGAAACAAAACGTAAAATTGATTCTGATCCTCGATACAAGGCCGTTGACAGCAGCTCACGTAGAGAGGATTGGTTTAGAGATTATGTGAGAAAGCTGGAGGAGGTATGTAATACTGAAAATTCAGAAATTATTGCGTGCATTTATTATTGCGATTTTTCAAGAATGGACAAACATGGGAGTTTAATTATTGCGATATCATGAAAACCTGCAAACATGTATATGTAACAGACATCAGAATGCGAGTTCTTATTATTGCGATAGTCGCTTAGTGGCTTTATTGGCATTAATAAAAACCTCGCAATAATTTCTGAATTTACAGTAGTTTACATTTGTGAAAACACTAATTTGGTTTTGCTATAATGTTAACATCCGTCGTTAGAAATATAACACATTGTTATATATACAATATATGTCAATTTTTCGGCTAATTATTTAAAGATAATGGAAACAAATCTATAATTTGACTTTGAAAGTAAATTATCTTTAATAACTTGTCAATCATGGCAAAGCTTGTTTGTTAGGTAATCTATAAACACATATCAGTAATCGTAAATATAGAAGCAAACTGGTCTAACAGGGTTTTAAGTTACCACCTGTTTCTGGATTTCATTCGTCAAAGATATTTGTTGTTACTTCTTCAAAAGGTAGTAAACAAGGTTAATGATGATTTCTGATCCACCTGGTAATCAAGCAAACTTCTTTCACACTCAAAAAGACATTTCAAATATTGTAATTTCGTTGTCAGTTACTACTTTCTCTTTATGCTATTCATATTAACATTTGGACAATATCTAAAAAGCAGCATATATTTGTGAATAAAGCATTACCAAGATCCAATATTGAAACTTAAAACTTTCTCACATTACAGGTTGAATCAGATGAAGACGATGATAGAAAAGATGAGAAGAAAGAAAAAGAAAAACAGGACAGAATAGAAGCTAGTATTCGTAAACGTGAAGAGGAAGTACAAAGGTCATTGTCATCGTCGCTCAGAGAAAGAGATAAAGAAAGGGAACAACACAAAAAGGATGAGGCAATTCAAGTCTTCAATGCCCTCCTTGTTGATCTGGTAATATTAATTGCGATGTTTGATAAAAAAATAATTAAAAAAAAAGGTCTTGGGTGAATTTTCTCTGAAGTTAATTTCTTGGATGTAGGAGTATTATTTTTTGCTTTAAAAAATTAACTGTAAGAGATGCATTTTGTTATGAAGGTGAGGCAAAAAAAAAATCTAATGATAAAATTTGTAGATCTTGTTGACAATTTCTTTATAAAAAATATCCATGAATTATATACTTAGCATGTCTTAATTTGATTTCTTTTCATATATTTATGCACACTTTAGGTAGAATGTTGACTTGCATATGACATAACATTCGTCTTCTTTATGAAAACTAGTAGGAGACTGTGGGAGACTGGAACTAAACATGACATAGTCGCTGTGAATCATATTAAACTTGATCCACACTGTATAGCAACCTCTAGATGTGAATAAACTCAACATGGATGATTAGAAATTAAAGTCAAATTATGCAAATTAACAGAAACAACGAGTGATAGCCACTGAAAAGTTCTTTAACTTTGGGCAGGCACACAAATATGGTGAGACTAAACTAGTCCTGTTAGTACGTAATCTTCAAAATTTAAAGTTCCTTCACTACAGGGATATATTTTAAAATGAAAACTATATTGAGCATATCTGACAATTCTTATTCAAAGATGTAGAAAGTTCTGGTAACGGTTTTCTTTTTGCTTTGCACTGATGATAAGTATACTATTGAATTTTAGGTCAAAACAGCAGATGCATCTTGGAGAGAAACTCGTAAAATGTTAAGGAAAGATCATCGATGGGATATGGCAGAATTATTAGAGAGAGATGAAAAAGAAAAAATCTTTGAAGAGCACATTGAAAATTTATACAAGAAAAATAAAGAAATGTTCCATAAATTACTCGATGAAACACAAGAGGTATGGACATTCTTATTAATTTCTGCTTTAAATGTTGACTTTAAAAATGTCTGTATTCAGAGTTTTTCAGTGTCATAGTTTGTAAAATTACCATATGTAAAAAAAAAATGGATAATTTACAAATCACAGTTTCATGGTTTGTTTAGATATTCATCGAACATAATAATAGTTGAGTTTCTTGGTTTTGTGTATATTATGGTCAAAGATAAAGCAGGTGTATAACTACACATTTATTATTTAAGGAATGACTGTAATATTTTTTCTGTCTATGAAGAAATAACATAAAAAATGTGGTGCACACTGAATAACCCACGTAGTGGTTTTTTTTAAAGTGTGCACCACATTTTTTATGTTATTTCGAATAGACAGAAAAATATTACAGTCATTTCTTATAGTTTAGTTCTAAATTCCATTTTAAACCGGAGTAAACCATGAAAAACCGTTGATGACGTCACGGTCACATGACAAAATTATGTCTATGAGCTTATAAACAAAACAATGTCAGCCAATCAGAAGACGCGTTACATCCAAAATTAACTTATTTTAAAATAGACCTATAAATGAATAAAGGAATGATTTTAAGACTTCAGGGATTAGAGGGGAGGAGGCTTGAAAGCACATTGAACTTTCAGTAAATTTAAAACTTATGACCAAAAATAAATGTAATATTAAAAATGTTCTTGAAATTTCAGATAAATTTAACAACAAGCTGGAAAGAAACAAAGAAAATGATCAAAGAAGATCCTAGGTATACCAAGTTCTCAGCAATATGTAGTGACAAGGTAAGTCCTTATTAAATGTCAAATGATATGTTAAATGTAATGAGTCGCCCTCAATCTATACCTAGAACTATATTTATAATTGAAAATTAAACCATAATAACACTGCCCAAAACTGAATACTGTGGATTCATTACTATTTATAGGGGAACCAATTTTATTGGATATAGATGAACCTTGCATTTACATGTTATTAAACTACACAATTCTTATAGGCTTGTATATATAGACTTTTGCAAAACCACAGAATCCCATATTCACAAAATTACAATTTTTTCCTCAACGCATGAAAATTGATACACTTATATAAATGAATCCATATTACTTTATATTCTAAAGAATCTATTTACTTTTATTTTTATGCCCCACCTATGATAGTAGCAGGGCCATTATGTTTTCTGGTCTGTGCATCCGTTCGTTTGTTTGTCCGTCCGTCCGTCTGTCCTGCTTCAGGTTAAAGTTTTTGGTCAAGGTAGTTTTTGATGAAGTTGAAGTCCATCAACTTGAAACTTAGTACACATGTTCCCTTTAAAATGATCTTTCTAATTTTAATGCCAAATTAAGAGTTTTGACCCCAATTTCATGGTCCACTGAGCATAGAAAATGATAGTGCGAGTTGGGCATCCGTGTACTATGGACACATTCTAGTTTTATTTTATTTTGTATTACAGAAACGAGAAAAAGAATTTGACGATTACTTGAGAGAAAAGTATGTACAGGCTAAAGCAGATTTTAGAGAGTTACTGAAGGAGACCAAACTGATAACTTACAAGTAAGAAATTGACAGTATTTAATTTATTATGTACTTATATGCCAAGCTGATTATAGTTTTATCAATTTGCATTCTTTGTCTTCTTCCTTTCCTTCTTTAAATCATTCTGAAAAGTAGAAGTATGGGGGACTTTTTTTTTTATCTTGCCTATAGGAATAGGAGTGAAATTTCGTATTGAGCTTGAAAATGACAAGTTACAGACCAATTTTCATTTTGTTACTGTTGACCTACTTTTGAATTACAGCCCTAAAACTTACAAAATGTTATGAAATCAGCACTTGTGTCGATATAAAATTTTTGGTGCCTCTTCATCCTCTGACATACATTGTACTATGCCCCATCTATAGGGGACAATGGGGAAAATGTTCCTGTCTGTACATTCCAATTCAGGTTTCAATGTTGGTTCAAGGTAGTTTACCAAGAAGTTGTGATTACATCAACTTGAAACTTGTTCATTGTGATGTGAACTTTAAAAGATATATGTAAAATTAGGGTTTGACTGACATATCTCATCATTCACTGAACCTGTTAAAATGGTAGTGAGAGTTGGCATAGTGTCCTAATGGCACATATTCTTGTTTACTGTTAAAAACAAAATCTAGGCAAGTGACCCAAAATCCAGGAAGTTTCAGGTGTGGCAGATAAGAGCTGACATTTTGTTTGTAATTGTATATGATATAAGCCTTGGGACTTGAAAAAAATTAAATGAAAATTGTTGATGTTGATGTAGGCTATGGAATTATGAAGGACCTGGTGTTTATGCCAACTTTACAATAAGATTTAATTCATGGTTACTATGTTGAACATTTCTTGCCTTATTGTTGAATTTTGATAATTTAACAGCAGTCTTGTCCTGAACATGCATGAAATATTTGCCACTGGATGTTAAGCAACCAACAATCAATCAATCAATTTAACCGCAGTGAATCAGTATAATGAGGAAAAACAAAGTGAACAGTTAGTCATGATTACTCTAAAAATGTTGTGAAAGGATATGATCCGGGGCAAAATAAAGTATATATGATTTTTGTTTTAGATCAAAGATACTAATAGAGGAATCGGACTCTCATCTGAAAGATATTGAAAGTATATTACAGGTAATTTGTGCTGATTCATACTTGAGGCTTCAAATTAATATTAAAAGTATACACCCTAAGTGACAGGACATTTGCCCTAAACTCTCCTGACTAAGATTGAAACATTTTTTTATGTTTCATAAGGAAATGATATTATAAAGATGTGTCTGATTCAAGATAATTTGATTTTAAGTTTTAATGTAGAAAATATTAACCCTTTTTGTCTCGACTTGACGGAGTCAAAAAGCGAGACATAGGTTTGCTGTTTCCGGCAGCGGCGTCAACAATCTATTAGTTTGTGATTAGGTCTATTTTAAGGTGAACCACTAGTGGTTGGTCAATGATATTTGGTATGCAGTTGTATTAGCACTGGCACATCTCATTTCCACGGAGATTATTTGGCCCTGCCCCCTCAGTCATGGTCTATTGACTTTGAAACTTTTACTTAGTTTACATGTATTAGTTTGTGATTAGGTCAGTTTATGGGGAACCACTAGTGGTAAGTCAATGATATTTGGTTGCAGTTGTATAAGCATTGGCATATCTCATTTCCATGGAGATTATTTGGCTCTGCCCCCTCAGTCATGGTCTATTGACTTTGAAACTTTTGCTTAGTTTACATGTATTAGTTTGTGATTAGGTCAGTTCAAGGGGAACCATTACTGGTAGGCCAATTTTAATTGGCATGCAATTGTATAAGCATTAGCACATCTCATTTCCATGGAGAATATTTGGTCCTGCCCCCTCAGTCATGGTCTACTGACTTTGAAACTTTTGCTTAGTTTACATGTATTAGTTTGTGATTAGATCAGTTTAAGATGAACCGCTAATGTTAATTCAATGATATTTGGTATGCAAATTTATTGGCATTTGCAAGTATCTTTTCCATGGAGATCATATAGCCCCACCCCCTCATCATGGTTCATTGACTTTGAAACTTTTACATAGTTTATAAGTCAATGTTTGTGTTTAGGTTTGTTGAAAGGGAACGACTTATGATAAGTCTATGGTATTTGGTATGCAGTTGTATTAGCATTGGCACATCTCATTTCCATGGAGATTGTTTTGCCATGTACCTTCAGTCATGGTTCATTGACTTTGAATATTTGCATTATCAAAGGTACAAAAAGGCGAGACATATCTCTGTGTTAACAGTTTATTTGGATAGAGGAATGGTAAAAACCTCATGATTCTACAAACACTGTTACTTTTTGTTGTATTCATGAAACTTTACATGACGTATTATGCATAAATGTAATCATGTATATTAAAGAATATTACATAAATTGATTATAGGGAATTTTATTCTAATTTTCTTACTCTAACTGCTAAAATAAAACTCCACAAAAAGTATAAATTGAATTGACAAAAATATTGGAATGTATGCAAAAAATAAATGTGTGACTACAGGAAAAACATTGATCAGATATACACCTTAGTTTACTATATGTATTGTAAATTTTATTGATTTGCCATTACAGAATGATAAAAGATACCTAGTGTTAGACTGTGTTGCAGAAGAGAGAGCCAAAATATTGGTTCAGTACATGGACGATCTGGCTAAGAAAGGTGCACCACCACCCCCTACAGCATCAGAGCCTTCTCGGAGATCAAAATAGTTAGGAGAGACATTAAAAGATAATTTACCCTAGCCAGTTCAGTCAATGTTATTTTATAAAGGAGGAAATACTCTTTATCATGAATTTTTTTTTTTATAAAGTCCTGAAGATGATCATTGAATTGATTATTTATTTCTACATTGTGGTCCAATCATTTAATTATTTTAGCAGTTCATTGATATTTCATGTTTTATAAGACATCGATGTTGTTTTATCTCACATTTTATCATGTATGACAGTCATTTGTCAGTGGAAATAAAATTGTTATTGTATGTGTTATTTAATTTATAGATCTATTTGTAATTTGTACATTTCGCTCTGTTTCATCCACCCATATCAGGTCAAAGTTTTAGTCGAGGTTGTTTACTTTGAAGCTGTGAACTCATCAAATTAAAACTCAGTACACTTGTTCATTATGATGTGATCTTTTTAGAATAAATGCCAAATAAGGGGTAAAATCCCAGATTTTGCAGGTCACTGAATATGGAAAATGTGATAGTGTGTATTAGGTTAAAGTTTTTAGTTACAGTAAAAGGAGATATGGCGTATATGTCAATAATAAGCTAGCAATCTGATGACAAATAAACAAAACACTTCTAGAATGCAAGAAACAGTCTTTAATAATAGACAGGTGTCAACACAATATGTCAAGCTCTGTCATCCCACAGAAAACATTACGATATAACATACAACTACTATTGATCGAGTTTCCTGACTTAGGACCAGACGATGCAAAATGTGGCAAGGTTAATCTTGTTATTTAGATCTCTCTCTTTTTATGTAAATGTGTAGCTTAACTAAACATATATAAAAGAACATACAATAAAAACAGGTACAGGACAATTTCTGAATAATGAATATCAAATCAAACTGCACAGATATTGCTCGCAATTACTGAAAAAAAAAGTAACAAAAGTACCAATCTCCAATGTAAATTCAAAAAGGACAAAATCAAAGGTTATCAATCAAGCTCAAAGTACTTAATCTGCCGATGAGAAGTCTTACTGTACTACACTTAATATTGGCTGCTGTATTTCATTCAGGAATGTCATAAACAGTTCAGGAAGAAGATATTATCTTGTGCATTGCCCAAAACAAATTCAACACACAAAAACATTTTAATATAACTGTAAACTATAATAAGCAATTGATATTTATCTAAAAAAATATTATAGACAGTTTTTCATCAACAACAATATAATGATAACCTTACCATGGAGACAGATTTGAAAGACAATTCCAGAATTTGTTAGCTTTATGAACAAAATATCATAAAAAGCTGGATGTTTCTGCACTTATAAAAAAAATTCACAATGAATTTCTATATTTGTGATAAATTAAATAAAAGTGTTACTGTGACTTGACTGTAAATGTTGCCCTCCACCTATTGCAGTTTTTTCAAAATTCTGACAAGCCTGAAACATTCTGTTACAGAAGTGAGATGTATGCATTCCTGCGCTAGTGTCTTCCATGTCGTCAAGACTGAGGTTATGATAAAAACAGTATCCTGAGTTAAAGGAGGGGGTATGAAAAACCATTATTTGACACTATGAAATTGCAAAGACAGTAAACTTATTCAAGCCTTTCATCAAAATGTTATTTTAATTTATAATGAACAGGTTAAGATAATCAGGACACTAGTGCAGAAAGGTCATTAGTGATGTAACCATGACGTCATAAACAATTCAAAATTTATGTATTTGACCTGTTTCAGGCAAAATATATATGAGCAATAGCTTTTCCCAAAAATATTTAACATACATTAACATCTTTGTAAAATACATTTTGGTACAAAACATATTTTTATACGACCGCAAAAATTAAAATTTTTTTGGTCGTATATTGGTATCACATTGTCGTTGTCCGAAGACAGATGGTTTCCGGTTAGTAACTTTAGTATAAGTAAATAGAAATCAATAAAATTTTAACACAAGGTTTATAACCACTTAAAGAAGGTTGGGATTGATTTTGGGGGTTATGGTCCCAACTGTTTAGGAATGAGGGGCTAAAAAAGGGGCCCAAATAAGCATTTTTGTAGTTTCCAGACAATAACTTGTGTTAAAGTGTATGAATCTCTCTGAAATTATACCACAAACTTCCATACAACAAAGGGATGGTTAGGATTGACTTTGGGGGGTTATGGCTCAAACCATTTAGTAATTAGGGGCAAAAAAAGGGGAAAAACAAGAGTTTTTCTGGTTAAAGGACAATTGAGACAATTTAAAAGCAGTGTAAGGGAGGTAATCCAATTCAAATTAAAGAACACTGTTTGATTACCTCCCTTACACTGCTTATAAATTATGTATTAAGAAATGATGATTGTCTTGAAGTGATTAGCTGTCAATTTATTTTTAGCAGTTACTATTAATTGATATTAATTTTAGCCATGACTATGTACGTCATTTTATATTTTAAAACTTTTATGATGGATTTAAATGGGTAATTTTGGTTGCAAACTGCATTAGAAATTTGAATTGAGATACTGACCATATCTTGAGGGAAAGAATTTTTTTGGGGAATAAGGGAAAGGGGGGAGGTGAAAAAAATTGGAGGGGGGACAATTTTTCTCATTTCAGATTTCAGAAATTAAAAGAAAATTTCTTCAAATATTTTTTTTGGGGAGTCAATATTCAACAGCATAGTGTAGGGGGGGGGGGGGGGGGGTCAATTCGCAACAGCATAGTGTATTGCACAAAAGCAATAAATTGAATATAAATTCAAATCATATAACCAATTTGAAGTTCTTTGACTACAGTTATTTTATGTCAGAAACCTATTATGTGTCAAAAATTTAGTTACAATCCAAATTCAGACCTGTATCAAGCGTGAATATTGTGTCCATTTTGGCCCAACTTTTCAGGGTTGGACATCTGCGGTCGTATCCAGCTGCGCTCAGCGAAGCAATTTATTCAGTTAAGCTGTTCCTCATATCTAAATATTAATTACAATATCTCAAAATGAGGTTAGTTTGGCAGTTTGCAGTTTTACACTTAATATTAGAAGTTTGAACCTCTGATGCTAATATGAAATTGAAGTTTTACTGATAAAGGACCTAATTAGTTTTTGCGGGTCACATTTACATCACCAGGCAAGTAGTCAACATTTCTGTGTTGACATGAATTGTCATTGATATGGTCATAATTACAAATTAACTTTACTAAACATTGAAAGTTTTCTAAATACGAAGGATTTTCTACCCCCAGGAATAGATTACCTTAGCTGTATTTTGGCAAAACCTTTTGGAATTTTGGGTCCTCATTGCTCTTCAACTTCGTACTTTATTTGGCTTATTTTAACATTTTTTGATTCGAGCGTGACTGATGAGTCTTTTGTAGACGAGCGTACAAAATTTGGATCCTGGTATCTATGATGAGTTTATTTAGATACTGCCTTGGGTTAAAGTTTTTTAGACATCAATAACTATGTTAAACCTTCATAGAATTTATGAAACTTTGACAGAAGCCATTTTAGGTTTACGAGATAATATCTAAATCCAATTTTTTTATAATTTTTCCTTATTTACTAATAAGTTGACAACGTTTGTCTTTGCAACTAACGTAAACAATCAATCTCTGATTATGCTTTTTAGACATCAATTAATTTGTAAAACCCTCATTGAATGTTCAGAAACTTGGAAATAAGCCTCTTTAAGATCAAGAAATATCATCAGATGAAAAAAATTTGATTTTGTTTTTTCCTGGTAAATTGACTGTATTTGCGATCAACATAACACTTTTACTTTGATAGCAGCAATCGCTGGCAAAACAGAATTATAGTGATGGAAATAAATTATTTATTCAAAAATTGTTTAATAGGTTTACAGTATCTATATATATGGTAAGTTTTCTTCAGAATTGTGAAATACTGTTAAAAAAAAATCCCAAAATTTACCCCCAAAAAAGCACTGAATCACAGTTTTGATCAAAACAAAAACACATTTTGTGTCCCTAACATACCTTTGAGAAAAAATGTTTGCCTGCATGAAACCTTGAAATGGCTTTTAAGACAAAAGTGTGTAAAGGATAAATCAATCAATCACAGATATTCTGCAATGCTAACTCAGGGGCTACAATAGTAGGAGGGCATTTTGTTTTCCAGTCTATATATCTGTTAGTCTCCGTTTGTTCCATATTAGGTTGAAGTTTGGATAAGGTAATTTACGATGAAGTTGTTGGGAATGTTGTCACATCAACTTATATCTTGGTACATTTTTTGTACACAAGTACATTATGATGTGAACTATTTAATATATGTGCCCAATCCGGGTATGCTCTAGTGTTAATAGCATCCATGGTGCCCAATGGATACATATTCATGTTATCTCTTCACTTTACCAAATAAGCTCCTCAAAGATATACCAGCTAGGCTTATTTTTCGGTACACCAGAGGCATTTCTTGTCTACAAAAAACTCAATAGGGACACTCGAATAAAAAAAGTTAAAAGGACAAATGAAATACAAGGTGGAACAGCATTGAGGACCCAAAATTCTGAAAGGTTTTGCCAAATAAAGCTATGGTACTAACATAGTAATATATTCCTGAGGTAGAAAATAAATGGTTGCAAAACTTATTGGTACATACATGTAGTTAATTGAAAATTTTCACATTTGTCGTTCTTGAGAATGTTTGAACTGATCCTGTTCAAATCTTACTATATAATTTAAGTGCTATTATTAGGTTTTTAAAACTGACATTTCAAGAAGGGGTTGAGTTTTCCATAGTAAAGGCGATGGATTCAAAACTTAAATCTTTCAACATATTTTTATACGACCGCAAAAAATTTTTGCGGTTGTATATTGGTATGACGTTGGTGTCGTCGTCGTCCGGCGTCGTCCGAAGACACATTGGTTTTCGCACTCTAACTTTAGTTTAAGTGAATGGATCTCTATGAAATTTTACCATAAGGTTCAATACCACAAAAGGAAGGTTGGGATTGATTTTGGGGGTTATGGTACCAACAGTTAAGGAATTAGGGGCCAAAAAGGGGCCAAAAATAAGCATTTTTGTAACTTCCAGACATAACTTGTGAGTTAGTGTATGGATCTCTCTGACATTGTAACACAAGGTTCCATATCACACAGGGAATGCTGGGATTGATTTTGGGGGTAATTGCCTCAAAATATTAGGAATTAGGGGCCAAAAAGGGGCAAAAAACAAGCATTTTTCTAGTTTCATGACAATAACTTGTGTGTAAGTGTATGGATCTTTCTGAAATTGTACTACAAGGTTCCATATCACAAAGGGAAAGCTAGAATTGAGTTTGGGGGTAATTGCCCTAAACGTTTAGGAATAAGGGGCCAAAAAGGGGCCACAAATAAGCATTTTTCTAGTTTCCAGACAATAACTTGTGTTCAAGTGTATGGATCTCTCTGAAATTATACCACAAGGTTCCATATCACACAGGGAATGCTGGGATTGATTTTGGGGGTAATTGCCTCAAAATATTAGGAATTAGGGGCCAAAAAAGGGGCAAAAAACAAGCATTTTTCTAGTTTCATGATAATAACTTGTGTGTAAGTGTATGGATCTTTCTGAAATTGTACTACAAGGTTCCATATCACAAAGGGAAAGCTGGAATTGAGTTTGGGGGTAATTGCCCAAAACGTTTAGGAATAAGGGGCCAAAAAGGGGCCAAAAATAAGCATTTTTCTAGTTTCCAGACAATAACTTGTGTTCAAGTGTATGGATCTCTCTGAAATTGTACTGCAAGGTACCATACCACAAAGGGAAGGCTGGGATTGAGTTTGGGGTGATTAATCATAAGGGGGTTCAAAAAATTTTGGGGGGGGGGATTTTTTTTTTTCCTTTTTTTTTCTTTTTTTCCTTTTTTTTTTCTTTTAAAATTTTACATTTTAAGTTGGTTATTTCTGTTTTATATTTAAAAGCAAATAATAATGATATGGTAGGAGATACACACCAAACAGGATGTGTAAATTATTATATAATAAGTATTGTGCAATAGCAAGAAATTTTCAATTGCATAGTATTGCACAATAGCAAGAAATCTTCAATTGCACAGTATTGCGCAATAGCAAGAAATCTTCAATTGCACAGTATTGTGCAATAGCAAGAAATATCCAATAGCACAATATTGTGCAATAGCAAGAAATTGTCAATTGTACAGTATTGCGCAATAGCAAGAAATATTCAATTGCACAGTATTGTGCAAAAGAAGATAATTCGTATAAATTGCTTATTTCTTGACCAATTTCAATGGGGTTTTATTCTTGAATTCTTGGGGTTCTTTAATATGCTGATTCTAACCGTGTATTAAGTTTTTGGATTTTGGGCCCCGTTTTTAAATTTGTCCACATTTAGGTCCAAAGGGTCCAAAATTAAACTTTGTTTGATTTCATCAAAAATTGAATTATTGGGGTTCTTTGATATGCCGAATCTAACCGTGTATTTAGATTCTTAATTTTTGGTTAAGTTTTCAAATTGGTCTACATTAAGGTCCAAAGGGTCCAAAATTAAACTTAGTTTGATTTTAACAAAAATTGAATTCTTAGGGTTCTTTGATATGCTGAATCTAAACATGTATTTAGATTTTTGATTATGGGCCCAGTTTTCCAGTTGGTCCAAATCGGGGTCCAAAATTAAACTTTGTTTGAATTCAACAAAAATTGAATATATGGGGCTCTTTGATATGCTGAATCTAACCATGCATTTAGATTTTGGATATTGGACCATAATAGGTGAATGTCCAATTTAAAATTTTTAAGTTCTTAGACCACATTCATTCTGTGTCAGAAACCTATGCTGTGTCAAATATTTAATCACAATCCAAATTCAGAGCTGTATCAAGCTTGAATGTTGTGTCCATACTTGCCCCAACTGTTCAGGGTTCGACCTCTGCGGTCGTATCAAGCTGCGCCCTGCGGAGCATTTTATTTCATTCAAGATGGTAATTGGAACATTAGAAATATATTCACTAGTTTGAATGGTATCAAACAGGAAATTCTGAAAGTAGAGTCAACTTTCCATGGTAAAAACTCATCTGAGATGTTCGGCTTATGATTTTTAACGATACACACGCGTTTAGTATACACGAGATTTGTACTTGGCACCCACAACAAATCAAGATATTAAACTGTGTCCATTGTATGTCAAACATTTTCCCTGTTGCATTGAAAATTAACAGAAATTTGCAACTTCCTTTTATTCCTCTTAAGATAAAGAATTATTATTATTATTAATTGGATGTCAGAGATGATAGTTTCAGAAATACACATTAATGGTAGTTTTCGTATGGCTTATTCTGGGTAATTTTTAAATAATATACTGGTACTTCATTCAATGAGAATTGCTTATTGGAGTATTTTAACTATATTAATCCTGACGACTCGAGAAAGGGTATGAACAGTAAATGTACAGAAAAGTTAACTTTTATTGCGAACCAAATGAGACTTATCCACAGAATCATCTCCACTTGGTCAAGGTATTTAAACTTTTGTCAGTTCAATTGTCCCATTGAATAAATACAATAGCTCTTGTTCTCTGTGTAGTTTATTCACTGGGACCTTTAAATTTCTTCTAAGAGAAATCAATCACTCATTGATTAATTTACCTGTATAAAAAAATATCTAAGTACATGAAAATACATGTATCAACTTACAAAACTGCATGTGATGTTGTATTTATTCAATATCAATAATATATTTTCAATCTGTTCAATGTAAGCACTGATTCAAACATTAAATTTTGATTTCTGA